TGAGTTAATCTAAATTTGTTTTATATACCAAGTCCGGAATAGAGTTATGCTATCTAAATGTTTTTAAAACATTTTTGCTAGCCTCCGTCTGCCCTATGCTCTCCACTCCTGGTGGACACTGACACTAGATCGATGTCTGTACTTTCCTAGTCGCTGGCGCTGGCGGACGCTCGAAGCGCTAGTGGTTGCTGGTGTTCGCTGGTGGACACTGTCGCAAAGTATGAACATAGCCTTAAGAGCTAAATCTGATTTCTTTCAAGCTCCCTGTGTGCAGTTCGAAAAGCCTCGCACCATCAGCCTCCCTTTTCTCACTTATTTTTCTTCGCCCAGACCGGCTGGTGCCTACTATTCGATTTTTCCGCCATCTAAATCTGCCTAGATTTCTAGTTTTTAATCTTTGGCGGAAATGATTCAGAGTGAAGATTCGGATGCTTTCGAGGTGCAGGACGAGCAACTTGACGGGGACGATGACGATGGCTCTGCTTTGGACGACTATTCGAGCTCTGAGAGGTGGAGTGATGACGACATGATGGGAAGCTATGAAGATGAAGAAGACGAGGGAGACTCCGACATCCAGTACATTTATCCCTAAGCAGCTTCAATTTTTATTTCTTTTTCGAAGGCCGTATTGAGGCCTTTTGGCATCGTCATTATGGCTGCAATTCCAAAGAATTTTTAGGGACGAGTATTTATCACGTCGAAATTTGGAGAAGGCACGAATGGAGCGATTACGCCGGGAGAAGGAAGAACGTGAAAGACTTAAGCAGATGGAAGCTGAACAAAGTCGCAAAACAAATGGTACCTCCAAAAAGGGAAGACCTCGTGAACCTCGTTGTGGCACAGGAGGAAACAGTAGGTTTATTGTGTTGTAATATTTCTTTGCTGTTTGGTTTTAACCTTTTTGCTTTGTAAATAATGCCGGGGAACGGTTTGGATTTACTATTTTTGTTCCGTCCGGTTGAGGGACGTAGTTCCTAACTATCGCTTATCTTGGTAGTAGTCTTCGGTCCTCGGGAATCGGTTGGTTCCTCAGTGGAGGGATATTTGAACTGTGTCTGGTGTATCACATTTCATTTGCAATTCGGATCACATTGTTTCGTTGGTAGAAAGAAAGTGAGAACTGCAACCTTGAAAATATATTGTGCGCTTGGCTTCACAGCGTCCGATGTCAATGATATGGCGTAAGTTCAAACCTTTTTGATACCTAATGTATACGGGTCTGGACCGGTAGTGTTTCCGAAGCTTCCAAAAAAGCAGAAAAACAATGAATCCGGGGAGAATTTTGGAGCTAAAGTACGCTGTACGCTTTTGTGCAGGATGGATTCTTGGCATTTCCGAGGTGGACCGAACCGGAGCTATAGACATATGCCACTGCGTTAGCTACGTGTCGTGAAAGACTCCACCCATCAGCAAAGCACGAAAATGCTTAGAGCTGTGCGACCAGACGTATGCCTTGCTATAAGCGAACATGGTGCTTGTCTGGGGCACCTGCTCACGCAGTAGTCTTAGTTGTCCTGCCTGAATTAGCTTGTATTTTGGAGCAGCGTTGTAAGCAATGTTCGTGAATACGTATCACCTTGGTATCGACGCACAGTTTGCACGTTGTGGTGGAGGGTAAAGAGTCCAAAACTGCCCTCAGCGTATCCGGCAGCCGACCCAGCTTCATTATCGTCATTTTTTTGATGGATGCCACATTTATGCTGCTACGGACCTGTGCACCTCGCACACGACAAGAGACATCGTGTAGGTATGCGTAGTGTATCTCTTTGTTGCAGCTAGAACTGTGTTAGCGGCAATACGATTCCCGTTTTTTTTTTTGAAGGAGCCTTATCTCTAGCCGCGAGGCATGTCCAGTACTGGTCCAGCAAACTCGCAGTGTTAACTTTCTCCTCTCTTTGACGAGTTTCCTTGATTTACTGTTCTATTTTGCAGTTGTTGTGGCCTCAATTGCTTCTGCCATTTTTGGCTGTTCTGCTTTCTCAGACCTATTTACTGGTGACTCTATACAAGTAGAAGTGAGAAGTGAAAGCGCGAGAGAGAATGTAAGAAAATTTGGGGCTACGAAAGAACTGTCAAAAAAGTGGTCAATCTGGGTTGACGCACGAATATTAGTAACTCCTCGTAATCACCAGGCCTTTCACAGGTTCCCTTATGCTCAGCATTTCGCCGTTTTCTGTAAGATATACAGTTCAGAGATCGAGATTAATTGAAAAAGCCATTACAGGCGCTAGAGCGCTGCACCTGTACTTTGATAAACTTTGATTCATGTTGATAGCAGTATATGCACAGTATATACAAGGTAATATGCTGCCGACTCTAGCTCACTAATCATGTCTTTGCGTCATCCAATGCTATTAACTTACGGAATTTAAAAAAAAATCCAAAAACGCGTTGTGAAATTCTGAAGAAGGTAGCTTTAGAGTTTCGTTGGACGGAACAACTAGGGAGACTCTAAACCGTCACTTATAGGGGCTGCAGCGCCATCGTTACTTCCTGTGAAACCACGAAAATGAGACAATCTTACAAGAGAGGTCGTTCAGGGCGTGGTGAGCTTTTCGAAATGGTCTTGTGCACATTGTAGGGGCACATACGAGGACCAGAAAACTAAGTTTCATTTTCGCTGCGCGCTTCTAGGAATAAAGAAAAGTAAAAAAAAAAATAGGTCGATGGTTCGGATCCCGCCGAGGACAGAATTTTGCTTTTCTACACTTTTTCATTTTTTTTTTTGTTTCATATTTGTCTAAATGCTTTGCCCAACAAAAACATTCACGATAAACTAACTGTACAATCCTATTTTTAGAGGATGGGGAGGGGAGCAAAACATGCTTTTTTTTTTCCGAATTCGGTTAGTATCACAGACCTATTCGGCTCCTCGGCGCTATGGGCTGTGCCAGAATGGCAGCTGGAAGCCGTGAAATAAAGTCTAGAATCGCCACGCAGGGGAGCCGAACCATCGCAACTCCACCCTCACTGTCCGATTGCGAAACCTCGGATCCGCTAGGCCATCCGATGTTTGACTCTGTGCAACGCTCTAATCGTTGATGAAACCATTGCAAGAAGCCGTTCACCCTTGAACACGTGACCCAAGTTGGAAGCTCACTTG